TCATCCAAGTTTTCTTTCCATTGGCCCAATCTTTCCAGCCATGCAGTCTTCGACTTGCTGTAAGTCTGTTCCAAACCATCCAGCTCTTGGATGCTTGCATCCAGTTGGCTGCTGTTAGCAGTGAGCTGAGCCTTTTTGCAGGCTTCTTTGAGGAGCAGCAGTTTGTCCACTGCTGTCCCTAAGGAAGTCACAGCCTTCTTCAGGCTTTTGTAGGTTGCCTTGTACTGCTCTTCCATGGTGGTCTCGACCTCATCCATTTCTGGCTTGGGTAGAGGCCTGTCAGGCTTGGGTTTGCCACCCAGAGTCACTTGGCTGGACTCTGGCACAGCCATCAAAGCCTTCTCCACTTGCTGGAACTCAGGGGCTTGCAGGTCCTTGACCTCCTGGTGAGCTGCTGTGGTGGACTCATAACTTCTTTCCTTTTCAGTCGCAAGCTGCTTCTCAAGCTTGTATTGCTTGTGCCCCAGCTCTGCCCAAGCTTTGACCTCATGAGGTCTCTCAGGCAACCCCAGTACTGCAGCTTCTGCCAGCTTGTTGAAGTCTGGGTCTTGTGGGTCAGCACCCTGCAACTTGGCTATCTGGTACTTGGTCATCCAACCATCGATGACTTTGTCAGTCTTTTTGAGCCTTTCCAGGCTTTGTTTGTGTACACTGCGACTGGCTGCAGATTCATCCAGAAGGAAAGTGTTGTAGTAAAACTCTCTTTTGGCTTGTTGGCTTCCATTGGCACATGCCTTGTCCCAGGCAGTCTTGAGGGCTGTGTCTCCAGCCTTGGCTTTCCTGGCAAGTTGCTGGTGCATGTCCTTCCAAGCATCTTTTGAAGGAGCAGGCAACTCCCCATCCTTCACTGCTCTAGCCTTTGCAGGCTTGGATTCAGTACTTGGGGCTTCCATAGCTGCTGCCTCAGAGGCTACAGAAGGAGTTGCCTCTGGAATGGCAGAGCCATCACTGGCTTTTGCTTTTGCTTTAGCCATTGCTTTCTTCTTGGGGGTTGGTGGCTCCACCTTCACATCGGGAGCTTTTCTTTTTGCCATCTTGCTACAGACACTGGCCAGTTGTTTAAAGCTTGAGGTCAGAAAAATGGCTGCAGATTTTTTTTTGGGTGGGGTTGAAAAATGTGACCAGGAACTTTTGGAACTTTCGGAACTTTTGGAACTTTTGGATTTATATAAGAAAACAATATCTAGGAATAGAAAGTTCCAAAAGTTCCATAGTCCAAAAGTTCCGAAAGTTCCTTTTTTCAACCCTTTCGAAGTACCACTGAAAGCAGGCAGGCGCACCTTTTTTTTCCAAAAACTCTCAGCTGCAGTGCTGGTAGAATGCCTTTTCAGGCAGGGTGCCATTGCTGGCAAGTTGCCATTGCTGGCAAGTTGCCATTGCTGGCATTTAAGGAGCAGCAACTGGTTCTGCTGCCCCTGCACCTCCAGTACCACCATCTTTTCCACCACTAGGATCCTTTTCCTGAGAGCCATTGTCTGGCTTTTCTTCCTTTGGCTGCTTCTTCCCTCTGGCTGTTTTGCTTCTCCTCCTGTTCTTTTTCTTTTTGCCTTGTTCAGGCACTCCAACACCATCATCTTCTTCATCCTCCTCCCCCTCCTCATCCCCACCTTGAATGAGGGTGCCATCTGCTGGCATGTGCTCACATCTTGGTTTCCCATCTTTGCCTAACCTTGTCCCCACACTCTTCGACCTCTCCCTGCCATTGCCATCACTGGCACTGGAAGCCTTGCTCTTTCTTGTGCTCCCCTTGGCAGAGGAAGCCTCTTGGGCCCTCCTCTCTGCATCTTCCCTAGCAACAATGGCTAGCCAGTCTGCTTGTTGCTTTTCCCATTCATCCAACTTTGCTGGATCTTTTTCTTGAGCCATTTCCCTGGCTTTGCGATGCAATTCATACATTTGCCTCTTGAGAGCCTTATTCAGACTGTGGACCCTGGGCTTTAACTCCTCAGGGACTTCTTCACCTTTCCTTTCCAACTCTCTTCTTTGAGCTCTTCTTTTGGCAGAAGCCCTGCCATGAAACATCCACCTGTCTGGATTTGGAGGGGCAGCTTCAGAACTCTTCCAATCTTGCCATTGCTGGCAGGTGTCTTGCCAGTCCCCCCAGTCTTGCCACTGCTGGCTGGGTGAAGACCAGTCTTGCCATTCCTGGCATGAGGTTCTCACACAGCGGGTTGACTGCACTGTGATGGTGCCATCTCTGGCAATGGAGCTTCTGCTAGTGCCATCACTGGCAGAGTTGGGTGGGCCAGGGCCAAAGGCGTCACCCCACTGGGGATCCCAGTCTGGGGTTTCACCTTGGCTTCCCCAACTCACAAAATCAGTATCTGCATAGTACCCCTGGATCAGTGTCCCACAATCCAGGGGCCTAGCAACATACTGTAGCCTTGGTTCAGGCTGGTCTCTTGAGGACACCCACATCTGGCTGGCATGGTGCCAATTGGGTGGGTATGGGCCCACATCATGGCCCATGTGTGACAAGCCATGGATGTAGGCAGCCATTTCTGGCTCTGCTTGGAACAGCTCTTCCAAGCAGTCCACATAAGATTGTGGCAATTCTTCATGCCAGCCTGAGGGGTGGACATAGTGATACTCACCATCCCACACCCTCACCCTCCACCAGCAGAACCATGGTGCGCCTTCTGCAGGCATGGCTGCCATGGTTGCAGCAGCCAAAAAGAGCCATTTCTGGCTGGTTGTGAGTTTGCCTTTGCAGGCTTGGGTGCCTTTGCAGGCAAAGAGGCAGCAGCAGACAGCCAAAAGCCACAACATGGCTGCACAAGGGGCGACTGCTCTGTGTGCTGTGACACTTGTGTGTGTGCTGTGACACTTGTGTGTGTGTGTGCTGTGACACTTGTGTGTGTGTGAGACTTGTGTGTGTGTGTTGTATATTGCTCACATACAGCCATATAAGTGTGCGTTGCTGTTACTGTTGTGGTGTGTATGTGTGTGTGTTTATTGTTGTTGCTGTTGTGGTGTGTGTGTATCTGTGGTGTGGCCTGTCATGTGGTTGACCTGGGTTTGAGCCACTTGGCTGTAGCAAAGCTGTTTCAAGAGACTGTTTCAAGAGATTGGTTTCAAGAGATTGTTTTCAAAGTTCCTTTTTTGTCTTCAAAAATTCATTCATTGGAGAAAGGCCTTTGCAGGCTGGTGGTGGTATGGTCTTTGCCATGCCCAACTCTTTGGCTGAGAGCCTTTGCAGGCTTTAGTGCTCAAAGCTGTTTCAAGAGATTGTTTTTGAAATTGACCATATGGGCCTTGTCCAGGCTTGGCTTTTGGGCTTCAGCAAAGCAAGCTTCCAACACTTTGCTTTGGTCATCTCCTTTTGGTAAATTGACATTCACCAAACAATACGGTTTGGATTCAGAGCCATCCCTGGCTTGGATGTAGCCCTTCTCCTTGAAGTTGCCCTTTTTGACCCAGCCAAAGCTGCAGCTTGCTACCCATGTGTTGTGGGTTGCCATGTGCACATGCTTTGCAGGCTTGGTAACTTTTGCAGTCTTGGGAGCCATTGCTGGCTTTTTTTGGGGGGTCATGCAGCTGGCAGGCCTTTTGTAGCTGCCATTCTTCCCATTTTTGGGTTTCAGCTTTTGAGGGGTCACTATACCAGATGAAGTGGAAGAAACTTCCTGTGTGCTGACCACAAAAGCTTCCTTTTCTTCACTGCCTGAGCTTTCGCTCTCCACCTTGGACTTTGTGCTGCTGCCTTGAAGCATTAAAATTTTTGATTTGGTGGCTGGAGCCTTTCCAGGCTGGGAGTCTTGCTTTTGAATTGTTGCCTTGTTATTTTCAGGCTGGGGGTCTTGCTTTTGAATTGCAGCCATTGCTGGCTCAGGGGCCACAAGAGAATCAAATGGCAAGTGTGTTTTCCTTCTTAGCATTCTTTCAGGCTGAGGCTGGGGTTCACTGGCGATAGGTGCCAAGCCCATGGCTTTCATCACTTGGAGGACTGCAGGGCTTGTCTTCTCTCCATTTTTCATATTTTTAGCTTTTTTGGTCAGCCATCTCTTGTATTGCACCAAGTGCTGAATGATCTCACCTCTGTCCAAATTTGACATTTTAGGGCAAGCAATTTGGAAAGAGAGCCTTGCTTCAGGCTTAGTGGGCTTTTCAGCAAACCAGACAGACAAAAAGGTTGCTTGCTTTGAAATAGCCATGTCTGGCTCAAGGGGAAAATCTTTCAAGCTACAATCTGGCACAAAGCCAGAGATGAGGCCAACCAATTTTGCCATTCTTCCATCGCCTTTGGTCTGCTCCACCGGCAAAGGACGAGCCATTTCCAAAAAGATCTATGCTCTTGAGCTTGGGCTAGGTTGATGACATGGTTAGTAAATATCTATCTATCTATATATATATATATCTATATGTGTATACTCTTTTTAGTTTGTTAATGAGCTACCATTTCCAGAAGCTAAAAAAACAAGCTTCTAGAAGCTAAAAACCAAGTTTTCTAGAAGCCAAAAAAACAAGCTTCTAGAAGCCAAAAAAAACAAGCTTCTAGAAGCCAAAAATTTTGGCTTCTGGGGTGCTAACATAAAAAATACTGGAAGCTTGTTTTTTTGTCAGAAGCTAAAAAAAGTAGCTGGCAGACAGTTTTCACAAGCTAAAAAAACAAGCTGCCAGACAAAAAAAACAGCTGGCAGTCAAAAAATTGGGCTTCCAAAACTGGCTTCCAGGAGGGTGGGAGCCAAAAAAACTAGCTGGCAGATAGAAAACAAAGCTTCTCGGAAGCTAAGGGTTTGACAAGAGTGCACCGCTCGCTTCTCAAGACTTGAGGGGCGTCTTAGGATGAAAAGGCGCTGGCTGTCCGAGGGGATCTGCTTCCACTGTGTGCAATACACAGCCTCTGAATCCACCCTTCATGACCTCTACTTTGGACCACCCACCAACCAAAAAGTAGATATACTCCCGGTCCCGTCACATTAGAGATCCAAATGTTGTGTTGCTCTTCTGTGGATTGAGGGAGCGACTGGGAAAGGGGGGGTGGAACGAGCATTCTGCAGGTGGTCGGCAGCCGTGAGGAAGCGCTGCGCGCAGCTGAAGAGCAGGGGTATCCCAGGGGTGCGACGCAGCCCTTCAGATCCTGTGGGGATTCGAAAGCTGAATTGGGCCGAAGAAGTATGGGTGTTTGGGTGGCGTTTGGGTGGTGTTTGGGTGGTATTTGGGTGGGTGGAGGATTAGAGACAACGGCAGATTCTAGATGTCTTTGGCTTTGCATGTTCTCTGGGCGTGGGGAAGTTGAGGGCGGCTCTGTGTCTCGAGTACTGCGCACCCTGTGCGTCAGAGGTACCACAGTTGTGTTTTGGCCGATTTGGGTGGTGCCATCCATGTCCGGCTCAGGATGAGAAATGCCACGGAGGCCTCCTTGCAGCGAACGTGGGGGCCTTGCAGCGAACGCGGATGCTGAAGGGCGGCCTTAAGGGCGGGGTATGGAGCAAGAGCATATGATGTGACTGCATGGTGAAGAATGTCACGATAGGTCCTTACATTCTTGAATGTGTACACCCAGAGTTTTGGTAAACCAGGATCTTCAAAGGGGCTGTCACTTAGACCTACTGTATAAGCATGTAAAAGACAACAAACGGAGACTCCAACGTTGAAGGTCCTGGAAAGTATCATACATGTTCGAAGCCAGGGCAACATGTGGCAACTTCATTTTCTATGCCACCTACCTTCGGAGATTTTACGGGTTCGGTTTTTTGCAGGTGGTCTCCGCCCAAACGCATCCCGGTTTAGGTTGAGGTCAAGACATCAGATTCTTGCTCCAAGTGGTCCAAAACTAGGGCCAATCCAGCGATTGGGTGCTGGTGAGTGGGCCTGCGCTTGAGCAGGGTCTCTATTATACGTTGCTTTGGACACTTGACCATCACTGATACTTAGGTGATAAACCTGCAGCTCAATCGCTCAACAAATGGCACATCGAAGGTGTGTGGTATCTCTTTAAGATACCAGGCCCTCCTTTTGGAACATTCCTTGTGACCCTGTTTTGCTGAGGTTTAAGCCCAGATCACGGCCGCAGGAGAGAGCGCTTCAACCACTTTGACATTTTTTGTGGTGGTGCTTTTGGGCGATCAAAGACACGTGCAAATCATGTCAGCGCATAATGTCAGTAATTCACAACTGCCCACCCTGGCAATGTCAGGACACTCTAACAACTATGCAGGCAATGCATGCTAGGGAGTCAGACCGGAACTTGTAAGATGATGAACTTATATCCCAGACACTCCATGGGACTGCCATATATGCCGCCCCATTGACCCCCCCAGTCAACCACCCCAACTGATCGGCAGTCCTATGGCAGTCCCACTACATGGCATCCCTCCATCGTGTCATGCGCAGGAAATCTGTGCACATCCGTCTTAAACCCTGGTGAGTCCAGGTGCTTGGGGAAGACTTCTCACGTTTGCAAAGGGGAAATCTCTCACGGGAACTCACATGGAAGTGGAGTGGAAAACCCTTTGTTTGTAGAGGAAAAGGCTTTGCCTAGGGCATGCCACGTGACCAGGTGAGTTCCAGGGAGTTTATGCCTTTGGAAACTGGACATCCTGCAGCTTCATACCCCGACACGACCTCCTCAGTTTATACTGGCATTTGATTCACGAGAAATGGGGATGGTGGATGGTTTTACGGGTCAATTGTAGGTGCATCCACGGGGGTCATGGTTTTTGAAGATAAGTGAGTCCGTGAGTCCGCTGTCTGAGGATGTTGAAAGTCCCAAGCTTTCTCCGTCTTCGCTGAAGAAGGGACCATCCAATGGCAGGAGGTCTCACGGTCCACGTCCCTCCCAGTGCTCTCTTCTTCGAGGCGCATGGAAGCTTGGGCGTTCGTTGGATCGTTGACACCGCTGGTGGGCTGTTGTTAGAAGGGACTCTTAGAATAGGAAGGCACCGGAGAGACTAATCATGATGAACCACTAGATCATATTCCTGCTTGTGCGATTTGTTCGGAACACATCTTCAGAGCCTGTATGCTGATGCTCTTCCAGCTGCACATGACGTCGTCAATGGCAGGTGAGTGCAGTTTTCGAGGTGACATGAGGTGACCATGTACAGACCATCCTAGAAGGCGGCGCCCAAACGGGGCCGCCCGAAGGACACGTGTGTTGAGTTTCCCTGGGCGAGGAGAAACGACTGGGCAACGCATGGACCTCATTTGCATGGACAAACGGTTGAAGGAAGAGTTTCCATGGCGGATCTTTTTTCATGCAGCATCACTGGGCACTCCCAGCATGCACTAGAGCGCCACATACCGCCTTTCACATTGACATAGTTTGGAAGGAAGATAACTACACAGAAAGGATGAATTACTTATAGAGAAAAAAAAACACTGAAGCACTTTTTTGTGCTAAGTGTTCGCAATGGGAATTTGCTTTGTATGTTGTCAGGTATATTGTTGAATTCCCCTTGATTGCTTAGGAGCACCTACCAGGACCCTCCAAGGGGTGTCCAATGGACTACCCCACAATACCTATAGGGCTTCCATTGGGCACCCCTTAGAGGGTCCTGGTATATGGATCTATGGTTAACTTAGTTCTTAATGCTTACCATTGCCGAGGTCTATTAGACCTCGGGGCTGACAGCTAACACATCCCATCACGTCCCAACTGGAAGGGAACAGGATCAAGCACGACTCCAGTCATCAAGCAGGTGTGTCTCTCCCAGAACGGACGCCGCCATGGTGGACCAGATGTGACTCCCTCACCGCACCAGTCTGGAAGACCAGGGGCCAGCCAGCGATTCGATTAGCCAGGGAGCCTTCTGAAGCAGTTGGGCGACGCACAGGGCAACATCTGACACACCCGGAAGTTCTGCCTTTGAGGGCAACAGCTGACACACCCGGAATCGGAGGCGACCCTGGCCACCGATTCATTCATATATCGCTCCCTCCCCCCCCTACCCCCGCGGAACTGCAGGTCATGCATGGCGAGCGTTTCGGGAGGCAGACAGCCATGGCGAACGTAGCTTGATGACTTCCATGGCAGACTTGGTAAACCACTGGTAAGCGTGACTTGTACTTGAATGACTTGTTTGCAGACTTGGTAAACCACTTGGGCAAGTCACACTGCTCATGTCATTTTTTTGCGAAAAAAAGAGGTTAGTCAAACTGTTTTAAGGTTCCTGTTTGGCAAGTCCGCGCAAGTCCGAGAGGGGAGTAAAACACTGTCACACTTGCTGCATCAATTATTCTTGATACTCTCTTCGGAAGCTGGGAAGCTGGCGCCATGGTTTCATTGGGGGTGCCCACAGCACGCTTTGGACTCTTGGATTTATGGCCAGCAGACGACGGATTCGATCTCTTCTTGCATGTTTCGTTCACCAAAAGTGAAGCGAGATGAGGCACAAACCATGGCTATGGATTTGAATCTTTGATTGGGGCAACGATGAATCATGTGAATGGAAGTATATACATGCATGTTTTGGAAGAAGGCCTTTGGGGTAGACAGCGCCTGGCAAAACGCCTGTTCCTTCGACTGAAAAAGAGACTTCCTTGGCCCCCTACCACTTGGCGCGACCGGCGCGACCGGCGACGCGACACGACCGCGACCACCGAGGCGCACCGCCTGACCCCGAGAAGCCCGAGCCGCACTACCCGGGCGTCTCCGCGCTGAAGTTCGACGCGCTGAGTGCGCTGAAGGTCTATCGACGCTTGGAAGTCGAAAGGGAAACCGGGAGGGGCGAAGGATGGCGAAGGATGAGAGGGATTGGGAGAGGAGGGGTTTGGAATGGAGTGGTGTTATTATGTTTTTGTATGTTATAAGTTATAATGTTTAATGAACATGTGCTGAAGTGGATGGCAGTCCAAACCTATGGCAGGATTTAACTTCAAGTCAACCACTACATAGGTCTAAGGAGTGGTGGCAGCATGCGGCAGACACAACTCTAAGGTACTTCCAGTCTGCCACCAACAGGTTACTAACAGGATGTGTGAATGTTTCTTGTTTCAGGTCGGTTCTTGACAAATAGTTGACTCTGTAATTAGTTCACTTGTCGTGCAAAGACTTTGCATGAAATGAATAGGACAAGAGTATTTCGTTGAACAGGTTTTGCAGGGCAAACCTGTTGTCCCGGTGATTCCTCACCTTGCTCAGCCGAAAACCGGATTCAAGCGGTCCCCTGCTCCCCTGGTAAATGTATGCAAATTTGCTCTACAGGATGTGATCTGATTGGTTGGGTGTGTGTGGAGGGGATGATTCGAAGGATTCTACCGGGATAAAGTGCAGTGCGGGGTTTGTGTAGTTTGATGTCCACTTGGATCTGTGCAGCTTTCCATGGAAGGACAGTGTCCTACCCGCAACCGCTGAACCTCAAACTTGCGTTGTCAGCGCCGAAAAAAGAGGAGGTATCTTGAAACGTTCAATCCCTAAATTAGATGGCCTGATGGCCTGATTGATTCATAGAGGGCAAAAAGACCTACCTGCAGCATCCAATGGGTGTCCAATGGAGATCCCTAAGCAGTGTAGGGTAGTCCATTGGACACCCATTGGATAGTTAGTAATGGTAGGAATCGACCTCTATTGATTCCCGGTCGGTCAGATTGGTCATTGGTTCGACGAATGGGCCGCCGGAGCGAGGCGAGTGTGTGAAGCGGGGCGAGGAAATCCGTGCCAACCAGCCGCGTGGACGGCCTTTTGAGGGATAGATGGATGGGCTTTCAATGCTACTGCAATAAATATGTATTATAGTTATTGTAATTATATTACTATAGTTATACATTGTCTAATTACTGCTAGAACCTGAGTAACCTCTATTTTGGAGCACCAACCAGACAACATATGGTCCTTTCCTATCAAAGCAGGGATCATGTTTGGGCTCTAGACATACATTTTTCTTTAAGAATGTATTGTGCGGCACAAGTTCATAGAAGCAATAATAATAGTCCCTTGGTTGACAGGAACATCTACTGGTCACCATGGTTTTCACCCCCAAAATGAGCGTTCTCCTTCGTAAAATCCGTTTCGAGTGTTGCCGTTTCACCCTGTGCAGTTCATTGTTCATTGCGCCAGAAGAGGACTTGTCGATCGAAACATTGACATACATTGGCCGTTCTTCTAAGCACGGGCGTTCGATTGGAAAGACGTGGCGTAGTCGAAACTGGTCGAACTTGAAGTTCTCAGGATGTTCGGTCATGAAAACTGAAGGTCTTGGATCATCAACAGGCTTTAACAGGCTAAGGGCCACACCTGAGGTCTTAGATACGTTCGGAAAAGTTTCTTAGATCACCCACAGAGACATCCCTCAGCAAGGATTCTTCAGACTGAAGCTCCCGGTCGATGAGGTGAAGAAGCAAGCTCCTGGCTGATTCCCTTCCGAGAATCGGCCGTTTGGAGCATAGGGAAATGAACGTCCTTTGCTGAGTATGAACACTAATTACCTTCCTTCGCGGAGCTGGTTTACATATAGGTAAGTCCCCTGACATGCGGAATGTGTGTTTTTCCAGGTTCCTGAAGAGCAAATCCAAGCTGAGCTTGCCCATGTTGAAATACCCGACCAAGCTTGGGTCACTTGGAGCTTTCAGGATGACTTCACTCCAAAAGGGCGAGTACTCAACAACCAAAATGAGCTTGGTCCTGAAAGTTCCAACCCGAAACACATTGGTTTGTTGTGTTGCTTTCTTCTGCTTCAGCCTGCGGCCTCTTCAGGCTGTATCTGCAAGCTGATCGTGAATGGCCCGTACGCCACAGGCTTTGGGACAAAGGGCAGGTTCCAGGAAGATGTTCGGATGTGAAGACGCTTTGACATGAGGGAACCCACCTTGCACCAGGTTAGATATGACCGGGAATTACAAAACAACACTACAGTATTTGGCATGGAGGATTAAACCTTTTAAAGCCCTCAGCAAAGGGGTGTTTTCAGGCAACAGGCTATATTCAATGGTGTATACCAGGGTCATCCAATGGGTGTCCAATAGACTACCCTACCTTACTTACAGGCCTCCATTGGGCACCCATTGGAAGTGCTAGGTATATAGTTGTTCTATTCTATGGCTGCGTTCTTCGACCCCACACCCCAGGTTCGATCGGTTTTTTCTGCCAACCGACGTTTCTCCACCCCAGCGATGTTTATCAAGACGTTTCTCTTTGACAACAGGGAGCAGCAATTGACATCCCTTTGGGCATGGGGTCCATGCCCATTGGTTTCAGTTGTTTTTGATATGACATGGGCCACCTGTTGGACATGTTCTATGCAAAGGATGTAGCGGTTAAGAGGGGGGAGTGAAGCACGGACACTTGCAGGGCTCGCTTCTGCCAGCAGAGAGGAATCAACGAAGCAATCAAGAGCTGTCAAGAAAAGAGCTCAGTCACAGCATCCAATATGTTTGGAACCTTTGCTCATAAGTTGACCTATTCGATGACCCTTTTTGCCAACTCTGCTGAGATCAGGGACGTGACTGGACATGTTTCAGGTTTAGGCTCACATGACATGCAAAGAAACAACAGTCCTTTCTTGCCCATCAGTCCATGTCCTCGGGGAATGACCGAAAGTATGGGTCCACAGCTCAGCATAAGCTGCTGAGAGAACTAGCTCCAAGCAGATCGTGCTTCGTTCTACTATTGCGGCTTAAAGTGCGAGCGATAATCAACATGCCTTTTGTCTACTGTGGTGACTCATCATGCTGTATCTACGGATGAGAGGCCGTAAACATCAGTACAAAAGCAGTTCTCTTCTCTTCTGACAATCAACGTGTTCAGCTTCCGAAACCGAGATCAGTGGTGCCAGTGGTTAGTGAATGGCTACAAGCGGCTACATCCTCAAAATCAAATGAAGAAAGGCATCCAACCAATCGATCCAATGTCCAAAAAACAAAGCACACATCATGTGCCGCTTTCTTCCACGGCAACGCCTTCTTTACCATTGACCTTACGAATCCATCCATCCCAGGCGACGGGTGCAGGACCTTTTGCCCGGCTTGGCCTCGGTCGCGGCCCTTTGGTCGGCAGGATCGGTGTGGATCCGTTGCTGGCGCCGGCGGAACCGCATGGCCGGGCGGAACCGCATGGCTTGCTCCGGTCAGGATTTATGGCTACACCCGAAAAAAAGACCCACATGGAACTTCATGGAACTGGGCGGGTGACGATGTTCCAGACATGCAAGACGATCGTTCCCTTATGTGGGATTGGGGACGTCCCATGTGGGTCTCGGAACCAGGGCTTAGTGGTGTTCGGTGACGGGGAATTCCGTAGGTGACTCCCTTTGAGAAAACCTAGACTGTTGAGATCATTTAGAACTTACTCGTGTTTGTGTTCGCAGCCAAGAAATGCCACGAACGATGCACCCGAATGGCGATCACCCGGCGGATGGAACGGGAACGGGGCAATGAAGAACACGAAGACTGAGGAGACCTATGAGCACCTGGGCTACACGCCTGATCCCATCACTCGGCGGATGGTGCTGCCCACTGCCGAGCCACCGCCCATGTTGAGCAGCTCTCGGGATGCTTCAGGCAGGGAAAGGGATCAAGCGGCAGGGATGCTCGGGTAGTTCTGAGAGACCAAATCGAGATCCCTTGAAGTCTTCCAGTGGTGACATCTCAGACACTCCAAGGGACTGGAATATGTGCTTACATTGACCCCTGAAACCACCCCAATATATGGCTGTGGGTCGGCGCCAGGAGTGGACTGGGTCATGGCGCGGCGTGGCCAATGGTGGACTGGTCGCGTGAACATGGTAGGTTACGACCTATGTCCCATACCCTAGGGATCGTTCCATACCCTTTGTGGAGGTGATTGGAGGCACTGTTTTGATCCGGTTTGTATAGGTTTGGAGGGTCCAGGACTTGGTACCGAACCTGAGAAGGTGTACTTCGATTCCTAGGGATAGACAGTCGTACACGGAGTGTTTGGGTATAGTCACTGGACCGGGTGGACTGGGCTGAGCTGGTGACCGGTGAGTTGGTGCTTCCCCGCTTCGAAAGCAGCCTGCGCAGTGAGTGGAAGCCAAGCTGGCTGTGGTGCATCCTTTCTGGGTGACCTGAATTTGGATGATTTAGGGGGCCTGAATTTGGATGAATCCTTCTTTTGCCAGTACCAAGCAGTTGGCACCCAAAGGCGCTCGTCGCTGGCACTTGCACCCCAAGATTCCGTGCTGAAACGAGGTCGAAGCAGCCATCACTCCAGCCGCGGGCACAGCGAAAAGCTGCAGCGAATGGGCACTGAGAGGGGATCCGTGCAGGTCGCCATGTCCTGAGCCCTACAGTCGATGTATGTCGATGTGAGACTGTAGTATCGACTGTTGAAGCAACCCACGATCTTTCGATCAACTCAACTGAGATCAGGATTCTCCGACCCTGGGCATGGCTTTAGGGATTCTCTGGTGAGATGAAGATTTTCCTACTTTGACACGGTTCTCTTGAGTTTTTTGGGGATTTTGTTTTGACAATTCTGCATAGGGTTCGTGAGATGCGCTTGAGGGGTGGTTGGAACAAATCAGATCCTATTGATATGCAGCAGACACGGGTTCGGATGTTCTTAGCTTATCTCCATGGGATCGTTGTGATTGGTGAAATAGAACAGTGCACGAGAGTCGTTGCAGGTTTTTGAGCATGTAGATCACTCAATAATGTTAACACTTCTACTGGTAGCTACTACTCCTGAGAACCAATAATGGACCCATGTCACACGGACCGCTAGATCGCCATGTTCCTTTTATGTTCCTTTATACAATGATTTTCGTATGTGGGTGATGAGGCCACGCTCTATTGGCTTGTACCCTTTCAGGGGTGGAGTCGCTGAGTCGCCCACAATCAATCATGTGCTTGAGATTTTCTGCGACAAGGCGGAAACGGACAGAGCAAATCATCCACCAGGTGCACTTATTTACCGATCTACACAGTCAGGTCTAGAGAAACCTTCGGATTGAGGATCTTGGAGTTTTACCACACTTTATAAAACAAGATTTCACCAATCTCCACAAGGCTTTTCTACCAAAAAGGCGATGCCTTCCAAACATCTCCAAAATCAACCGGCAAAAGCGGGTGTCATGTGCTGGTTCCTACTGCGATTGAAGATGCCATGTGTGTGTTTGTTTAAAGAGGGAGACCTCCGATCGCCCTGTCTATTTCTCGAACCTTCCAGGGTCTCGTTGCCTGGGAGGTCTCCCTATTTTGCACACCCATGTGATTTGCTCACATCACCAGATCTCACACAAGGTTTCGTGTTGAAACATGCTTTCGCCGATTTCACAGTGACACAGATTGGAGCTTCTTTTCGGGGGGTGGTCGGACGACACCGGACGACACCGAGGAAACCCCAGAAGGGAGTGGTCTTGCGGAGTTCGTGTGGAGCCGAGTGGTCGATCGTCCTGTCGCCACGGTGGAAGCCAGAAGACCGGTGATCGCGGTGGAACAACCAAATGCGGAAAAGCAGTCCAAAGACGGAAGTATGTTCAACATTGTTCAAAACTGATAGCGATCGATTCAAAAAAAGAAAAACGATACGCCCCATACGAAGAGTTGTTTTTCTATCCACATGGGGGAGTGAATAATCGAGAGTCCTACATGAATCTTTATGGATCCACATACCTTCTCAGGTACGGTAATTGGGCCGCAACCCAGCCTATACATAAACAGTCTCCGTCCTCACCGTAGCTGAGGTTCGGTATGTGGATCCATAGGGAATGTATATTACATGTATATAACCCAGACACGACCCATGGGACTCCTGAGACTGCCGACTGCGGTGGCAGACTGCCAGAGGGGTCGACCTCTGGGGCGGCAGTCCGTCCTGGCAGTCTCAGACAGGTCGTGTTTGGGTATCATGTCAATTTATGGCAAGGCATCACGGTCATGATCAGGAATGTGGAAGAAATGGCTGCATCATGTCCCTTGTTGCTGCTGTGAGTTCCTGGAGGGTGGTAACCTGGTGAATGAGACAGCAGGAAGAAACATATCATTAAACAAAGTATGTCACAAACCAATCCCCAGAGATCCGCAGAGGTATGTGACATGCTACAGAACACCAGGCACTCTGTGGAAGAGTTCTACCTTTCACCTGGCTGGCATTTAGATGGCTGGCACAAAGGCTCAACAAGCCAGCTACAACGCTTTAATGAACAGTAAAAGTGAACCTTGCCTATGAGATTGATACCTGCAGACCTACAGGCCAGCTTGCTCGAAGTGACCAAACTTGAGGCTCCCAGCTTAAGTGAGCCGATATATTACGTGACCGAACCACTCAGGCCACTCTGTCTTTTTGAAGACCTAGTAGAGTCTTGGTGCTCGATGTCGACTTCACTGCAAAAGAAACGGAACATCCACTGGAACCACCATGGCCTAAGTGCTTTCGGCCTCTGCCTCGTCGATTGAGGGGCCTCCTATAGAGTCTTGCAGCTGTTTGGGCACAATCCCATGATCATGGGATGGTGCGATCAATTTGAAAACTCCTTAGAATATGTTTCATATTATACAATATGATGTTACTGTAACTTGTCATATTGTCATTGGCTTGGGTCAACTCCATGTCATTGGTTGTTAGTTTTGGTTTGCTGTGTTTCTTCCTTACTCTGCAAGACAATGCCAGACATACTGTCGGAATGCAATGAATGGGTACATGTTGTGCGGTTTGCAAGTCACTCATGGAATATGGGACAAGCCAGAACAAGTAGGCAAAAGGGTTGTATTGGGAAAGCGTCCATATTGTGTGCATGAGGATGATTAGCTTGAACACCGGAGTCTAGCAGCCACTATCGCAAGTCATCCCTTTGTGATTCACATTATCCTGGGAGTTTTTCTCGTTGGATCCCCACTGCTTGGAGATGTTCACCACTTGTGGTTGGAGACTTCCATGGCTTCAAGCACCGGGGGTCTCTCAAAGACGGCGGTGCCTTCGATCATCGTTCCTTTCCCATCGAGGTCGTTGCCCGCCTTCCGTTCCCACTTTGATGCACCTCGGGGCGGTGTTTGCTCTTGGACTTCGGAGCAACGGGAAAGTTTGCTCCGAGAGCGGGACATGATCAAGAAGAGTTGTGGCACTCAAAACCGCGTTTTCACCTTTGTTTGACATGGGTGCCCCAGCCTCATCAACAGCTTGCTTAGAAATCCAGACCCTCTTGATGACTATTGCCCCACATCAGTTGCAACATTGAGAGGGAAGTCTCACATTGGAGTTTGTGACAATCATTTGCAATCTTAGTTAGTTTACACATGCTTACAGCTGCAGGTTTTGTGACTTTGCAAATTCGTACCTCAAAAGCAGGCTGCGTCACTCACAGTCGTCACCCGATCTCTCCTCTGAGAGGAGTGGACAGAGAGGTTAGAGCAGGACGTGGCTCAAAGAGGACGAGTCTGGAAAATGATCTCCTTTGTTTTCTCGTGCTAGAAGACAAGGAATGTGAATTATTGATAAACATTGCCTGTTAACGCAATGTGTTTTTTTCATATTTTTTCAACAGGGATGAATACCGCCAATAGCTTGGTAACCAGACCGGACGGGGTGGGTTGATGCTGAAAATTCTGAATATATCACGCTTGATTCTGACATATCAGTGCGTTGTCCCACCGGCAACTACCTTATATCCGGCAGAACAGCATGGATTGGCGAGCTGCAGCACGATGCCTCGAGTCCGGGCCAAAGGAAGATCCTATAGCACCCGCAAGGTGAGTGGGTAGATGTAGATATAGTATAACTTCTCTAGCAGAGATCACCTGGGATGGCCATTTACATCGTCAATCATCTATAGGGCCTCCCACGGGCCGCTCGTGGAGAGAGTAGGGCGGGGCGCGCAGCATGTCCAGACCTTCGACCACCTCTTCGGGCAGCAGGCAGGACGTGGAGCCTGCGAACCCCCAAAACGATTCCAACGGAGAGACTCGTCCCGCCGGGCGAAACCGGGTCACGGCCGGAACCGTTCGTCCCACGGTGGTTCCAAGGCCTCGACATGTGGATCGTGTCCGACACCTAGATGGTCGTTCCGGAAAGGAGAGAGGAGTGGCCCCGCTTCGCTACACTGGGATGTCCAGGTTCTGGTTTAGGGTTCTTCTTGCTATAACATGCTGTAACTTCACACGGCGACAGTTGTGCGCAGATGTGTTAAATTTGTTTGATTTCAGGTGCTTGGTGTTCCTTCAGGGAGCCCATTAGGCAAAGAGCTGGAAGCTGCTTGGGCTCAACCTAACCACAAACCTTTGGTCGATAACGGCGACGTCTCATCCTGTGTTTGCGTGTTTGAAATGACACCCCAGATTTGGGGAGTCCATCAGCCCAGAGGAAACAGATACACTCAAGAATGAACTTTGATCCAATCCCTTCCAGCTATGTACAAGAATAGATATAACTCTACCCCCTAGCCTTGGATTTCAAGGCCTCTTTCAGGCTTGGGGCCTGAGGGGTTGAAATAAATTGTACTATATAATGTGTCATTCTACATAAGCTGCCTGACTGCCTGAGACTTCCTTCCAGAAGACCTGTGACAAGAAAACCGTGCTTGCGGCTCATGTGTGACGAAGTTCGCTGAGGCCGTTGGCTTTGTTCTACCACCAGAGCTCAGCTTCGCACAAAGGTGCGCTCTTCGGGTGGGCGCGGCGTTGGAACGAGGACAGATGGTGGCCAGGCGGTGCTGGACAGGGAGGGAAGCAGCTACACTGCAGCTACACTGGACATCTTTGAACCATCCCTAGGGCTCCTGGCCCACCTCCTGAGGTTCGATGGTTGGGGTGGGTGGTTTGGGGGGTCTAACCACCATATGGGACAGGAGCCCTAGGGCATGATGTTGACCTGGAACGTGGCAAACAGATGTTTGCCCGCGAGTCGAGGACTCTTTTGCTATACAAATTGATCAGTAGCCAAGTGTTGACAACATGGACCATATGCCTGTGCATGTGATTTGAAGAGAACAGCATACATGTCCAAACTCGTGATGTCCATGACACTCTTTTGGAGAAAATGGTGTAAGAAAAGCAACGTGAAACAACTCCCCTCTTTGGCGAAGGCTCCCCAAAGAAGCTGCTCTCTCTATGCTGTACTCCTGTCTGTCTCTAAGCTGTACTCCTGTTTGTTCCTGTCTTTGTCTCAGAACACACGGCATCCGCATGGTTTGCCGTCGCGAGGCCGAGCACGACACCTGGCCGTACGACTCACAGCCTTTGTCCACCCAGTCCCTGGCGGCAGAACTGCACCGCACGGAAACTCGAAGACCGACCGAAGCCTCCCAGGCCGAGCGGTTGGTCGGTGAGCTGGGCCGAACTAGGAGGATGGAATGGGCGCTTTGGGACCCTTTGGGCGGTGCTCCAAAAAATACATTGGATTAAGTTGTTTTTTTGCGGGGGAATGCATGGAGGATCATGGAGGCTTTGCATGGCTGGCTCCTTTTGAAAGAAATCTTCTAAAACCTCCTAGACTCCTAGCGGAGTTTTTTTTGGCCCTTTGGCAGTCCCTGAGACCATCTTAGACCTTTCAGAACATTGTTTGTCAAAGCCTGTATATACCCCCCCAAATAGTATGCATATAATGTTGCAATCTTATCTTAGCAATTTTGATCTTTTAGGTATACCCAGTATACCCTGTTCATGAGAGCATACACTTATACTTCCTTACACACTTAATAGCCATTGCTAGACCACGGGCAACCAAGGACAGGTTCACCATTTCGTTCCCGCATTCTCGTTGAGAAAGCAGCCGCGCGGGAGGTTTGGCCTGGAACCAACCTGGACCTCTCAAGCAGCTGGGGAGGTCTACCCCTCCCGCTCCTCCGTCCGAACGTGCGCGTTCGGAGAGTGGCGGGAAGAAGAACTAAGTGCTCCTAACCTCGTTTTCATAGTAGTTAGTCTAGTTGATAGAGAGATGAGTATGAGTCTATCTAGAACTGCCAAAGTGTGTGTTCGAGAAACACACTGAGACACCGGGCACCGACCGACCAGAGAAGTTCCGTTGGATCCCGCAGCACGTTGGATCCCAAAGCAGATCTGTTTGCATGTTTGCTTCTTTGTTCGTTTGTTTGTTCGTTTGTGATGCTGTGTTGTTTCGTTCTTCGAATCCACTCCAGGTACAAGGGAGTCGCTGAGAGCAGCGTGAACCGGGCGCCCTCCAAGCCCCACGACGAGCATGTCAGGCTCTTCGCGGGGACTGCGGGGCTGCCGTCCTGGCATCGCTTGGCCTATCCTTGACACATGGGGACAGGTCCAAACCGTGGAGCCCTGGTCCGCCATTTGCCGCGCGCCGGTCTCCTGGTGCCCGAGCCTCCTGCGGAGCCAGAAGTCTCCTGCGGCACCTGCTCAAGCGGTTGCTAGACCCACGATATGTTTGCCATCGAACAACCCACTTGAGCGAGCCTTAGGGTGGATTTGGCACATGCTGGCACAAAGTTCCAGTTTCATTGGGAATGAGTCAGTTCTTTTGATCCGAGATATTGAATCCACCAGATGGTGTCCATGAAGTGAGGAACTATGCCGACAAAAAGCCTATATAGGTATTCTGGAAAACATGTTTCGATGAACATGATCCCTCAGATTCCTCTATAACATGAGAAGATTCACGGAAGGACATCCATGCCAGAGGGACATTTCCATGAGAACCAAAAGAAAGCTGAGTTCCCAGAAGCTTGGTAAACGTAATTACCACACATACATGCCCATGCCATGTGTTTCGTACCAATCCAAATGGTCTTCAACAATGATCAGCCACGAGGTTTCAAGTGGTGCAACAGGTTTGTTCCATGCATTGTTCGGCATGCGGCATGCACCGGGCGAGGAGCCAAACTTAAAGCTTTTAGACTTATTTATTAGACTTAGATGTCACAAAGACTATGTCGAGAATGACCATTGGCCCACATGAAGTGACAAAAACAGTTATGTCATACTGAATATATTATTCACAAATAAGCTATATAATAACTCGGCTGAAGGAAATAGCAGTCTAATTTTGATGTTATTTGTGTGTTGGCGGGAAAGAAAACGTAGAGGGACGTCCAAGCCATCAAGCTGACGGAAGCTCACCCTCAAGCGTGAAGTTCGGTGTTGATCGAAGAAGGGTCCATCATCATATGCCATGGCACATGTATTGGGTGGTTGGGTCAAGTTTTGACACTTCGTTGGTGCACACTTGAGAAGGTCAATGAAAAGATCCCTGCCTTCGCCGACACCCCAAGAAAAATCAGAAACGTTCTATGGGGGGAGGGGGGTACTATATCGATATCTATATTATAGCAGGATTCATGATCTTCAGGATCTTAATGGAAGGATTGCAAAGGACCAAGGCACCAACGGCAGTTTCACCAGTCACCGATTACCCGCAGCGCCAAAGTCGTCTTCGTGGAACCCAAAGGTGGAACCGGGGACTGCGCAGAACCTCGAGGTCCAAGCGTGGGTTCGTGGTGCAACAAAGTTAGAGAGGTCCTGGGTGGATGTTGAATGAACAAATCCACCATATCATGGAGATGATTTGACCAGTTTTGACGAAAAAAACGGTGCAGAGCTTATTATCAACCATCGTAAGATGATTCAGGTTGGTTCGTGGTTCCAGGCTGTACCCTGATCCAACTTCTTTTATAAGACCAGGCCGTTTGCCACACTGAAGACCACAGACACCGGTCGCGCCAAAAGAACCTGGGGACCTCTTACCATTGCGTGACCATGCGCGACACGTGACCATGCGCTGCATGCCTCTGAAGGAGCTAAGTGGAAAGATACAGAAGAGACCTGAACTGGGTTTGGACGGCGACGAGACCTGAACGATCTCACTCACCAAGCGAAGTTAGTGCCTTTTTGAGGCGCGTTTTATTTTGTTGTTTGGGATCTCCCCATGTTGAAGCGTCTCAAGAGTTTTACTTGAAATCACTCGAATGTGTTGCATTTGCATCTTGGGAGGTGGGGTAAACTGGAGGACCTGGTTAATTGGACCAGGCAGGATGTTGTCGAAATATGCAGAATTATTGAAACTCACTGACATTTTGATATAGAGAGCGAGTCCACAGGTGCTTGTCTAGAAGTATAATGATACCATGGAACATAGATGTCACTTCACAAGACTTCAACATTGCTTGGTGTACAGTGCTCGACCCATTTATTGGCTTTTGGCTTCCAGGAAGCACCTCACCTGTAGCCACAGCTCATCCGCAGCCATGGGGCGACGACCAGCCAAGTGCTACCGCTACAACAAGAACAAGCCTTACCCAAAGACCCGCAGCTAGGCAGCACATCTTGGGAAAGTACTGAAACTCTCTAGGGCTCCTCTCCCACATTTTCAGAAGGTAGGGACTGAACCCCACCCCAGTAACCCACCGCACCGAACTGAAGGTAGACCAGGAGCCCCAAGGACTTATGCTGTACTGGCACTTCACACGCCAGGACTTCACGTTCATTTGTTTAAGGCTACTGCCGCGGCGTGCCTGACCCCAAGATCCGTGCCTTGGCGACACCAATGGTGCTTTTCTTTGCGACACCGGGCTGTGCGTTGCCAAGACTCTGTAACAGATGACCACTGCTTGTTGGGCCACCAACATGTTGGTGTTTGTTTCATGCCCAGCTGGTTTCCTCCCAAAAAAAGAACATGAACTGAAATCACACTGTCTTGAGATTATTTGAGGATGTTCACTGAGTTTGTGGAGGCGATTTTTGTTTTCTTCACGTCAATGTTTTCCAGAGTCGTGGGGTGAGTCTAACAGGACTTAGTGAGGTTGGGCAAAGAAATAGTTTATGCTGCAAACAGGTGATTTGAATATGATAGAAATGACCGCCATAACCAAACACATTCAATTACCATGGGAGAGGGCAAAGGGTGTCATATCTTGGGGTCACAGGTCTCAAAGTTTGGTATTTGTTTAATGTGTTACTCTTTGTGTGCCACTCTCGAGGGCATTCATGCATGTGCCGCACTTTAATGTGTTGTTGAATGATGTAACCCCAAGTGCGCTAGTTGCGCTCAAACGAGTATGGCACCTTTGTACTAGACGAAAAGCCCCTACTGTGCCGCACTTCAACACATGTCACGGCATGTCACGGCTTCCAGCCTGGGAGGTCTTCGACTCCAGCCGATGGGGCGAACCGGACATCGCCCGCATGAGTGCTTGTTACTACTAGTAAGGCACCTGTTACTAGAAGCGATGCACTTGTTACTAGTAGCTTCTTGTTACTACTAGTAAGGCACTTGAGTGCTTGAATTCTAAAAGAGGTGGGTTCGCTCACATTTGGTGACACACGTCACATATGTTTGTTTGATATGGGGAGCAAATGTCCACATATGTCCGCATGCTTGTGAACAGCTTTCAGCTGAATCCGGGCGAGATGGCTTCCGAGGTATTTTCGATGTCGGAAAGAAGAAGATGCCTTGCGATGAGTTGCTGGCAAGCAGTTGATGTTGGTCCAGAATCACAGACATGAAACTAAACCGATGAACACTGAGCAGTAGAGATCGGCGTGTCATTCTGTTAGGCTCAACAGATCGGCAGCTAGGCTGATGATATCGAGTCTTCCAAGAATCTGTCCATTTGTCTATTCCCTGTGGCACCCAAGTCAGTGAGGGTGCTCAAGAGGTTAAAGCCTGGTCACATCGGTTCCGTGAGGTTGTTTGTTGCCCCTTCACCTGGGCCATTCCTTTCTGAAAGTCGCTGCTTGATGATCTCCACCCCAAAGATCTCCAGCCAACCGATGATTCCACACGGGTCCGTTTGGGATTTTCATAAGCCAGACGGCACAGAAGCAGATTGGGTGGGTTCTAAAAATCGGGAGACCTCCAACCAATTGCTTTTGGTCTATTTCCTTTCTTCCAGGGGGTCGTTGCCTGGGAGGTCTCCCTAATCAAAAATCACACCCAGATGAATCACTCCTGAGCAGTGGTGGAAAACGTTCCATTCCTGAAGTGATGTGTCTTGATGGTGATTGACCTTCCGCACATAAATTCTGATATATATACAGATATAATATGTACATTTTACATTTATCCTGTCACAAATCACGAATGGATGGTCACAATCATTGCACCTTGGCGTCGAAAGTCAAAGAACATCATTGGTCACACAGGCATATTCAGTTATATTCAGTTTTGTTTGGATGTATTGGAATAGAAAGTCATTGGAGCTTCATACTGAGTCATCCAACATGCCCCTGGTTGAGGAGAAAAGAGCAATGAGTGGTGGATTGTTTAATGGTTAATGATATTAAAAACTGTTGGACCTGATTAAAAGTGGAGAAGATGTTGGTCCAAGAGAAAACACACAACATCCCATTCCAACTAGTTGACAACAGTTTATCCCCATGTCTTGAGGCCATACAAGGCACCAATCTTTGATCCTGTCAGATGTGACCAAACAGATCAGTGTATGAAGTGAAATCAATAATTGTTGATAGGGGTCTGGATTAGCCAACTCCCTAGGATGTGTTTGTTGGAACATCAAATAGTTTCATCCATTTGGATGATAACGTTTCATGCCCACGTGTACAATCCACAAAGCTTTTGCATGGACTAATTCTCCCAATCCACTCATGTGCAACATATCCATGTCCAGTATTGGCAGTATTCACCATGTCCAGTGCCTGACTTTTTTCACTGTTGAGTCTAATTTGCACCACATGAGGACACATAAAAAAACAACACGGTTCCAAGAAACACGATCCACCAGAGTCTTCAGGGTCTTTGTTGGCTCGGTGACCCCGACATGAAGTCCAACTTCGTGACCGCGTTGAACTGCTTTTCCCAGCACACCAAGTCCAACCCGCCCAAACACATGGGAGCGTTTCGACCTGGCCGGACCTGCTCGAGCAGCCAGCCATGGGGCTCCGTCCGCTGCGCCGCCACGGAGGTTCCCTGCGGCGGCGCACTTGGTCTGCGACGAGGACCAGCAGTTGACCTCCGAGGCGCTCGAGGCGGCGCGCATCGCCGTGAACAAGCCGCGTGGCCGGAGCGGTGGCGGGGGCGGGGTGCCGGACTTGAAACGATGGGTTTGGGGAGGCGAGGGCTTTCCAGATCAAGAACATCAGAGGGTGAGACAAGGAAAGGGATCAAATGATTGCAGGATGATTGTAGATGGAAATGTGGCAGAGTCAGAGTCCTTTTATGTTGCCACGTTTCCCTGTAAGGGCGTTGTGCCAAATTCTTTGGGTTCATCCGTTTGACTTGCTGTGGAGATATGTAAGGGCGTTGTGCCAAATTCTTTGGGTTCATCCGTTTGGCTTGCTGTGGAGATATTAACTGCAGCGAAAAATCCCTCAACTAGATTCGTAAAACAAAAACAGTACAACTTATTGGGTCACTGTCCTATTAATTACCCGTAACAGTCGTTAAGCAGTCACTATTTGAGAGAAAGGCCTGCAACTGAACCATTATTATCATCCACTGTTATTGATGGGAGAGACCCTAAAGTACAACAGATACACTTGATTGGCAACATGTCTATAACTACCCTGATGGGGATTGGATGTACGGATTGTGCCACAAAAGACCACGGATTCGCTTCTCCGGTCCTGCAATCCCCACCCCAGCAGTGCTTGGAGGGCTAGGGCGTGGTTTCAGCGATTTCGGTGACGAGGAAGGGCAGCTGTCCTCTTCAAATGACTGGCAAAAGACATGGATCTTTGACATGTTGAAGTCCTGCGGTCCGTTTTAGTAAGTCCAAACGAAAAGTGATTAGGATATGGATGAAATGACTCAAGACTTTGCCTTTGTTGTAATCCCAGGTGTACCTATCATAACCTTTCATAGCCGAATAGTATCTACTGTATTAATAGTGAGTCTGAGTCTAAATATATATAACTTATTGAAATTATTGTGTCTTCACGGTGTCACGTCAATTTTTCTTTGACTCGATGTCCGAAAAAGACTAGCCACGCATGTGACTGAGGTACATGGTGACCAATGCTGGGAAGGATTTCTTCCACATTCGCACCTTGTCAAGCGTTGTGAAACAGTGCCCAGCTGGAGTGACTATGGTGATGTTTGCCTGCATCAATCCTCCAGATTCCTCGAATCACCCTTGGTGTGCCAAGAGATGTCACAGTTTTTTTGTTTGCAAGTCATAGGACAGGGTGGTTGATCTGACGGATCATTGTTTACTTGAGGGGGTGGGGGGGTTGCATGGATATTTGTTTTATGGGTGTTTTATGGTTTGTTGTGCTTGGCTTCTACACAGTGGTTTTGGATGGCATGCGGTGCATGGGCCGTGTAGGACTGACCGTTTTGAGCGCTGGAGCAGTTGAAGTGCAGTGTTCCTCGGTTCCTTTAGATACCTAACTACTAGGACTTGCTTAGGGTTATATGTGATTTTCCCTATGGTTGAATCCCCTTCTAGGGAGTAGTTATGTGATTTTTTGTTTCTTCGGATCTTTAAGCAAATCCAAGCCTATCCAGGAAAGGTGGATTACATTTAACCCTTTTTGGGGATTGGGGACACCCTCTGCCAGAAACTCCTTGACTGGACTAATATGACATGCTTATGTTGAGAAAGCTAAGCTTCCACTGGGTGCGATCAAACAAATCACATCAGAGAAATACATACAGACAAAAAAACACTTGAAAGGAATTGAACACACAGATGTATACAAATAGTACTAAACAGATCGACATAGAAAACATAGGAACCAGAATGTCCATGAAAAATAGATCACCTCACGCCAGGGCAAACCTGAGAGGTAGGGGTAGGGGGTGACCAGGGATGTAGGTAGGGGGTGACGCAGCCAAATGTTTCTTCCTTCTGAGCTGCCACATCGTTGTGATCATCCTGCAGAGTCCTTGAAGAACATAGGAAACAGATAGGAACCACTTAAGATGTGGACAAAACAGATGAACACAAAACACAACATGTTCCTGGGAGATCAAAGAACGGAAAACGATTCAACACAAATAGGACATAAGCAGTGGGGTGGGGGGTTGCTCCATAATTACGCTATTGTTTGTGTTTTTTTCTTCCTGCCTAGCTTTTTTTTGCTTTGTTTTTGTTTGACCTTAGCTAACCTTATGTCTATGTATGCCGTGTTTGTTTCGCATGTTGTCCTACTATCATTTCAAATTGTGTTGCTATATAGTTGTTACTGTAAATATATATATATATATATTTGTTCATATTTTGTACAGTTTACATCTTGTTTTTTTCGATGTCCAATCGCATCTCTTCCACCACCCTCCAATCTGATGGATCAAAATCCTTTCTAGATCATTTCGTTCAGCTTCGCTGCGTCGCTCCGGAGGCATCCGGCCTCACCCGTTCAACGTGCTACGCATCAACAAGCGCCTTGTTGACAGCCACGCGTGCATGGGATGTGTGCGGGACCAGTGGGGATCTTCGAGGTGCCCGATCTGTGCATTTTAAGCTAGCTCCACAGGGGAACTGTGCCTGGAAGCGGGACTTTTGGCTCATCCATCCTCACCCGGCCATTGTGCGTGGAATACTGCACAATCACACATCAGAAGACTAAGAAGTTAGTAGCATGCGGTGATCACGGTCTTGAGCCTGGAGCCTGAGAGAGGAGAGCGATTCCGGTCTCCCGAGACCCGGTCGGGAGCGTCACCGGGCTCCGAGCGCACCGAGGACCTTGTCCTGCGCCGGGGCGGATCGCCTCTCGAGCGGCATGCGCGGCGCCTTCGGCAAGCCCTACGGCACCGCCGCGCGCGTGGACATCGGCCAGGCGAGTCTGGGCAGGTCACTTCTGCGTGTAGGACACAGATGGATACACATCAATGAAATGATCAACGGAAGATATATTGGAAACAACGGTATTTGGACCCTTTTCAGAGGGATGATGTCTCTTGACGTCCTGGCAGGTCTTGATCTCCTTGCGCACCAAGGAGGAGAAGATCCAATTCGCTGTGGAAGCCTTGAGGTTTCGATCGACAGACGGTGCATGGGTGGGATTGGTGAAGTACAGGAGGATGGATAGGTTAGCAACCCATGCAATTGGTGTGCAACCCATGAGGATGCAAGTGAAGTACAGGGATTGGAGTGATAGGATAGCTGAAAGAACTGTGCAGGCCGGGTTGCTGTGTAGGAAGAGAAGGATGATGTGGCATGGACTACCCTGAAGACACGAACATGGACTCTGAAAACCTCATGGTGAATTCATGCGGAATAGGTCGCACTGGATACCATTCTCAGGTGTCCATGTTACTCGGGGAGTCTAGTTATTATGCTGTCAACTCCGCACATCGCAAAACGGTCATCCAACGATCGTCCACCACATGTGGCTGTGTACATCGCAAGGATCTACACTCCCTGAAATCATGGGTTACGTGGATGGCACCATTTGTACAGGAAAACGGCCATCCTTCAAGGGGAAAACGGTCATCCACGCAACCATGAAGCCCTTCAGGGACCCTTTCGAAAGCTTCATCCAACCTTCGTGCCAAGAGACCGGGGCGAAAAGGATGATCCACCGCATGAAGATCTCGCTCCCTGCTCCATCCGCAGAAGGTCAGCAAACATAGGCTCACCGTCTCCTTCCACGTGGTTCACATTTCAACGATCCGAGGTGCCAAATGGATCCCATCTTAATCTTAGAAGGTACCACAGTGTGATCACGCAGATCTGTATAAATAGGCTTCCCTCTTGGTTTCCCTCCCGGCTCCAGGCCGTCTCGTTCGGCCGTCGCAGGCGGGCATCGGCCAAGTTTGCGGGACGTCAGAAGGTGCACGTCTCCAACAAGTTTGGCTTCACGAAGTACACGAAGAAGGAGCTTCCGTGCCGGGTCGACCCACACGCCGCGCCACAAGCGCACGCGCGCGCGCGCGCTAATTGCACACATGCGCCTTTGCACTTATATGCGGAGTGATGCAAAACACATGGCTCTTTCAATAGTGGAATCTAACAAGCTGATGAAATTGGGGGGTAACACTCATTTTGGTCAGCTCACCCAATTTATAGTTTCCTTGAACCTGAGTGACCCTTGTTGTCACATATAGGAAAAGGCCATAGTTTGGGTGGTTCATGGTCCAAACTAGAGGTCACCCAATTCATCGATTTGTAATGAACCAGTCATCACATGGATCAAATCCGGTCGCGTGGCATTCACTAAATGTTGTTCCAGGGTCCTTGTGTGTGTGACTGAGTTCCAGAGATCTCGCTCTGCCGAACCTTCGGCGAGTCGACCGTGCCTGGTGAGAAAACCATAGATCGCCACAGACCGCTGTTTGTTTGCCGAGTCTAGGCTCAAGAGACCAGGCGCTCTATCTGAATGATTTGGTGTCGATATACTTGTAATTATCTATTTATAAGTGCTAAACTTAATTGATATAGTCATGTGGATAAATCGTTCTTGTGGCTGCTGCAAGAAAGATCAAGAAAGACAGTTTAACAAACACACACACACACCAAAAAAACAGCATGTTAATAAGTTGAAGAGGACACACGCAACAATAGTGTCTTTTTCACCTGGTGTCAGGAAGTCATGGACCATTCCAGACACAGGTCATTGAAGCAAAGCGGAATAATGCAGTACATGACATGATTGAAGTTCCATGTGGAGAGCTACGTTTACAAGATGAAGTGGCACAAGCAAGGTGACTGCTGTACCAAAGCATACTTACGAGCATGCACAAATTCAAGCAAGCCGGGCAATCCGGAAAAGAACAAGAACACTTTCTTTTGCGGCGCTGGGAGAGAGGCAGATGGGGAGCCGCAGCAAGCTGGGTGACTTGGGCCACGGAGCGACCTTTTGCGATGTGTTTTTTCCTTCCAAGCGACCTCAAGTGCGTGGGGGTTGCTTTTTGCTTCGGCAAAAGAGATGGTTTCTTCGCAAAAGGGGAGTGGTGTGTGCTGCTTCCAGAAGGGAGTTCTGGGGGATGCAGGCTTCTCCAACTCCATCCTGCTGGATCACCCGGAAATGCACGTCGACACGACCGCCTTCTGGAACTGGAATAGTTGTCAATCAGTTGGGGTGGTGTAGGGTTTGGCATAGGGGTTGTAGGCATCTTGTATATTCATGGAGTGTTTGGCATATGTGGAAGTATGACGAACCTTTGTCCCATGCAAGATCCCTGGCCGAAGGCCGAAGATTCCATCATCTTCTATATTATTCTATATATCGGCAGTTAATCATCTTGAACTATCTTCTTTGGCTCCGGTGTTCAGCCCGGAAGATCTCTGTTTCAGTGAAAGAAAAACATATTCACGGTGATATTCCTGGTCGGGGTGTCCTTGGTGAAGACCGCCAGGTGACCCCTTTGGCAGGTCCTTGGTGTCGGATCTTCCCCATTCGGTTGAAACCGAGCGACCGTCGAGCTCTGACATCGACGTGACCGAGCGACCGGAGCGACGAGCCGGTTTCGGAGTGGTGGTCCTCTGAGTTCCATTGGCGCCTTCAGCCGCACGGTTTCGAAATAGCACGGTTTCGATGTTCTTTCAAAGGCCTAGCATTGGACAGACAGTCTACTCATGGACTCATGGGCGTGTTTGGTGGTTGAGTGGATCCCTGGCCCATCAGATGTCGCTGAGACCTTTTGTTTCGCTGTCATGCGCCCGTTGGAAGCTGCGTGGTTGCTGCACGTGGTTGGTGGTTGAAATGGCACTGGTGTATGTATATCTACTGTCAAAAATATTATATACAAGTACTATAACTACAGATAATTCTACAATATATATTGTACAGTTGAGATCGATTTAAAGGTGGTGAGATGGTGAGAGATTAGAACCCAGAGTTATTGCCTTTGAAGCCCCCTGGTACTCTGGAAACGGGCGGCAGTTCTCTCCGTTCTGATCGTGAGGCGACTGGGAGAACCCGGACTCGGTGGTGCGCTCAGAGGATTGGCAGGAAGCCATCCGCAAAGGCCCCAGACCGCGCGACCCCCTCGTGCTCGGATGGTGCGTCGGTCAGAGGACGAGCGCGGGGTGGACGAGCGCGTGGCGCGCTGGCGCTTGAGCGTGCGCTTGAATGGCCAGGCTGCGAGATGGTTCAGTTGGCCAGTGAAAGGAAGGTGAGGGATTTGGAACGGCGCTTGGATCACCTCAAGACCGAGGCTGGAGCTGTTCAGCTGCGGCAGTGGTGGTCATGCCTGGTCGCTGGTGTGGGATCTCCGGTGGCCAGACAAAAGGAAAGAGATCTCAAGAGTCCCAACGCGTGAAAACAACACTTGAGCAGTTCAGCACCCCTTAAAGTTATACTTTGGTTTTCATTGGTTATTTAGTAGGGATTCGAACAATCAGTTGCGGCAGGATGTTGTAGTACGGCCTGACCGTAGGCAAGGTGATTGGTGTGTTCGTCCAGGCAGAGACCTTGCGCAGGAAGGGGGAAGAGCTACGGAGCCTCGGCCGACGATGTGCCGAGCCTTGCGCAGTGCTGACGTTGATCTTTCCAGGGTCTTATTATTGAAAGATCAACAACAGGGTTCCTTTGCAGAACCTTTTCATACACCAGAACACTGCGTGTTGATCAGAACCTGTTCAGGGTTCTTTCGTAGTGCTGATGTTGAACTTACTTACCTCTGGACGAAGTTCCCGGGGGGTTGCACCTCGAAAAACCACGTGTTTTTTTTTGTGTGTGTGTGTGGGTCCACCTGCAAGAAAAGCTGTCCACTTTCCGTGGACATGATTAACCTGTCCTTGAGCGTCCAGCTGGGAAATATTCATTGCAAGCATTGTCAAGGACTATCCTTGAACCCCGAAAACCTGATGGTGTAACATGGGAGGAATCTTGCATACTGTTTTGGAATTATCGTCGTGGTGATGTGATATGTTAAATTGGTGTTTACATGTCTTGTGATCCTGATCCTAGACCTGTCATCTTTGCAAAAGTAGAACAACATTCACGATGCAGAGCACATGTCTCAGTGTTAGTTTCAGTGTTCTATCAGTATTGAAGTGCCTTTGCTTGAAACTAGATTGAACAACATCTAGCGTTGTGTTGTGCGTATCGTGCTCCTTTGGATATGTAAGTTGGGACCAAGCACTGAAGAGGAGTGCAGATCTGCAGACCAGGCCCACGCATGCCCAGTCCGCCCATGCACTCAGACCGAGGACGATTCACTTGAGTTTGGAGTCAGACTTGAAGGAAAGCAAGAACCAAAACAAGGCTCAGATGGAATCAAATAAGAGCCTTATCTGTGAATTCTTGGCTGGTGGCCAGACCAGGCTGGGACTGGTAGAACATCCACGTCCTGGCTGGACTGGTGTGATTCATTGATTGAAGAGCAGGTGAAAGATTGAACAGGTGTGATTGAAGAGTAGGTGTGATTGATTGATTTATTGATTGATGTTTGGAAACCTAAAAGAAATCTGAAGAGTTAAATTAAGCTGAGGAGGTTTTATGGCTAAACTGCACGGTGAGCTCTCCCTGAGTTTTTTGGAACGTGGTCGCCTCACTTGGATTGAGCTGGAACAGGGATCCTCAGCACTTCTTCAGTTCAGTTAGGTTGCTGGAGGAGCCTAACTTGAATCAATACCAGACTGACCAGGAAGCAGTCTGCCACTGAATGACTGGCAGCTTGTGGCTGTACCAAGCTGTCTTATGAAGACCTTGTAAGGATGTTAGAGTATATAGCTCGGATGGTTCCTTTTGTGTAGGGCGAATTCGATGGGTTATCATGGGTTCAGGTCTACTCCATGCTACACTAAACATCACTAAACCTACTCCTGATGGCATCCTAACTCTGCAACTAGGCTTGCATCCGCTAGCGTCCGCTCGTGGCACGCCTTCAGACGCTCTCTGGAATCTCAGGAAGCTGGCGCAGGAGGTCTATGCCATGCGTGCGGACATGTCGAAGCTAGGACTGGGGTGTCAGATGATGTGGTCGAGTAAACGAATGAGCCTAACAATCCATGGGCAATATCCAAAAATTGGAGGTGCAGAGGGGTCCGAGGGTCATAGATGAGTTCCTAAACATGTAGTCTAAATTGTTTCTATATGGATGTTTTTGTTACAACGAGCTCTACCTTCCTTCTCCCCTCTCTTCCAATCTTCCACCGTGGATCGTCAATGCAGCCATGCAGGACAGTTCCGTGCCAGCCTGGACCAGGCCGTGTCCTTCGTGGAGAAGAAGTGACTGTGGGAAGCTCCTCCGATCGGCCGAGCCCCGACCGACAAAACCGGAATGGTGGGTCTTGTCGATGTTAACCAGGATGGTCTGACAAGTGAATGACGATCGGCCGGGTGACTTAATTGGTTCATTTCCTGAAGAGGTATTTTGGTGAGGTCCGCGAGCTGTTTTCATAGATGGCTTAACAAAAAGGTGAGGAGACTCCAAGACAGCAACACTGCTCACTGCCCAGCTGCGCCGGGTTCAGCCTGACGCAGGGGACGCAGATCGATTGAAATCCATGGCGGTGCTGAGATCAACTGGACAGATCAAGGATCAAAGATCAATGCTAAGGATCAAGGATCAACACTAAGGATCAAGGATCAAGGATCAAGCATGTCGGTGATCAAGGACAGATCAAGGATCAAGGACATTCTACACTGGTCCACTCTCGCAGACGGGCAAGTCTCGGGCAGGCTATATACGGCTATCAGCAAGCTATGCATGTGTTGATCTCTCTCCACCGTGGCCAAAGAAAGGCAAGTCTCTTCAAAGTAAGAGGTACAGCTTGAGCAGGCTCAGCCCACATGGAGAGGCATGTGGTTGTACAGGATTCATTGTTTTTGTTATTCCAAAAGAAGTCCTTATGAGATGTTTGTGGCTTTTGGGAGCAGATTTGGATTCAAATCTAGGCACATGTCACCGTCTTCTCAGAGGCCTATTACAGGTGGGATAGGTCAGTCATTTGTATGGACATTCGCAGACAAATGAAGTGCGGGGGTGTTCAACTCTTGGGTCTGCTCGGTTCCGGTCCAATGAACCTGTCGCTTCTGATCCAGCGAACGTGTCGCTTCAGAAAGAGGCGTGCGCCATCGTCTCACAGACCTGGTGCGATGACCGCAGAGAATGAGAGGATGACCATGGACCATGATCCTGATCCCTTACAGATACCTGAGGATTTTCGCCACCCTCATTCCTTGCTTTCGTACCAGTCAGCCCCTTTGCCCCTTTGGTAGAGATCTTTGCCAGACCAAGTGATTACTACATCACACTCGGGCATCTTTGCCAGACCAAGTGATTACTACATCACACTCGGGCTGCATCAAAGGCATCTCATTTCTGTGTCTACCGGAATCAAGGACATATATAGGACCTATAGGACTTGTTCTAGGAGGGTTAACAATGGTTAACATATATATAGTGTGTCGTTCGGCCGCTCGGTACGATGTCCGGCCGGCGAAACCGAAACCGGGAGTGGAGTTCTAAGGCTCAACCTGGGGGGAGCTGAGAAAGGAACCAAAATACTTGGGCTACCTTTAGGATAGTCGAACTAGGCTTTTTGGGGTTCTTCAACCTCTGCTGGTGAATCCTGGATGACGTGTATTGACCCTGGGGCTGGCCTACCTTGGTTTCGTTTCGATGGTGGGTGTGTGGGTGGGTGGGGTCTCACCACTGAACGTGAGGATGTGGGCCAGGAGCCCTAGAGTAACGTCCTGGGCGACGTGTTCCATGGAGTTGTTTTGACACTCAGGAGTTGTTCCATGGAGTTGCGTTTGAGACCCATCCCAGGGCACCAATAGGCCACCTCTCACTTCGGCACCCGAACATGGGACGTAGAAGCTGGCCAGAAAGCCTTTGTAGCGGAAGAGGATCTTCGAAGCAAGTGTGTTCAGACTCGCATGCATATGTGCGAGGACACGTGTGGAAAAAACTGGATTCATGAAACAATCAGGGTTTTTGAAGTGGTGTTTCGAGCTTCACCCGACTTTTCATCCGGACTTTTGAAGTCCTGCAAATCTCTTTTTTTGGCGGGGCGAGGCTGGTGAGACCCTCTTCAGAAAGAACCAATGAGCAGGGAAGAGAAGCAGAGTCTATAGGGTACGGAATCTGTGGGAATCCCCCAGAACCTCGCTTTCTGCTGGGTCTCGCTGAAGCCGGTTCCACCTGAGGATGCGGACCAATCTGAAGGACCCCAAAACAAGAGGCTGTTAAGGCCTACCAGGCCCCTCTCACCTTCTGGTGCCACTCTCTGGTTCGGGCTTCACCAGGAGTATCATGACTACAAGGCACAAGGACGCCTCGTCACTTGGAGCTACTGGACCACTGGTGTGGCGAGGCGTAGGTGGAGAAGGTAAGTATAGGTGGTGCATCAATGGGGCGCGCCAGAGAGCCAGCACGGTGGGCTGTAGAGACATCTAAGGTACTTTGCTGTTTTGTGTGTGGTTGGTACACCCAAACCATGCCAAACCCTACTGATTACATGAAAAAGCAAGTTAGTTGGATCTGAATCTGGGTTTCACTCTCGGATCCAACAAGTTTTGCTCATTTTTGTTCCCTTTTGGTTGCCCCCCCCTTGCCTTTTGGCCTTTTGGGCACCTGCCTTTTGGGGCTTTTCCATCGCGAACCAGCCGAGGTCCCGGATGGCACCAACGTGAGGTGGCTCAGCAGCCGTGGCCCCCTGTGGCGCCTCATTGGACGTGAGAACGCCTGAGACGCCCCGAGTCTGAGGACAAGGAAAGGCGAAGCGAACAGGTGTGGCGCCATGTGAGAAAAAATGGACCCCTCTGATTTGCGGTTGGATTTCACATGGTTTTACTAGTGATGTTGCTGATGTTGATGGGATGACGTGCACGGACGGATGATGGAGGTGTAATTTGGACGTGGAGGGTTGTCGGATCCGGAGGCTAAGTGATGAATCCTGGGGTGCCTGGGATGAATCCTCAGAAGGATTGTGGACTGTAAGTGTGTTATCCCTATACCTCCAACCATATCCTCAGGTGGTTAGACCCCCCCAAACCCACCACAACCATCTTCGAAAAGGAGGTAGTTGGAGCCCTTGCGAATTATCCATAAGTCTGTGTTGAAGACCGGTTTGATTCCTGGCTTTAATTCTATTCAGCGGCTTCACTCTACACATGGGGGCGCCGCTTCCTTGACGATCCAGTTGTTTCGCACTTGTACCCACAAGCCCGGGACAGTTGTGGTAGGCCTGTAGGCTTCTGGGCCCCGTTGGCCCCGTTGGCGCCGCATTTGGAAGAGCGTGGTTTCTTGGAAATTCTTGGTGCGTTTGCCTTTGAAAGGCATCGCCGAGCCCCTCAAAGCAGAATGGAAGACGTTCACGCATGCCACATGAAAGCCAGCATTTCTTTCAGAGTCCCCCAATCGAAGGATCACGAACCATGCAACAAAAAGGAGATCACAGACTTCAATGAAACCCCTGTGAGATCAACACCTTCTTCTAACACAGCTCTCCCTCACCAAAAGAAGTCAATCATTTCAGATTCATTTCTATCTTGTTTTTGTCATCCATGCTCCCTCATGGATTAGCCTTGCAGATCCATTTGATCCAAATTCCCTGGTCCCTGGACCGCGCCCTAAGCGAACGACCGATCGGTCGCACGAACGAACGCGCCAACGTCATGCTGGTGCAGCGCTGCCGCTGGGGCACGGCCGCTTGGGCGAGGCGGTCCCTCGATGCGAGACGGGTGGGGGGAAGCGCCGCCAGTCTTTCGGCGAGTGAGCCACGAATGGATCATGCCAGACAGAACTGTGCACGTACCAATCCAAACGATGTGCCAGGCGGTGCCAAGGTGTGGGAAGTGCTGGATTAGCGGAGCAGTCTGGAGTCTGTAGTAATATTGGAAATCCATGCATAGTGCAGAGCCGATGGGAACGTGGTGTTACCCCCCTTCCTTCAGTTAATAACTGCACGAACTCTATAGGAGAGCCTCATCCACGAGAGTCGACATGTTGTTCCAAGACCGCTTCGAGCAACATGCTTTTTGCAGATCCACAGTGAGTGAGTGATCCATGATCGTTTGCAGGCAGATCCTTTGAACACGATGCACTTTACGTCTTGAATCTACAGGACCTGCGGAGAACCGTTTATGCCAAGAGTTTGGGGACCTGCCCAACCCACGGCGGCGCCATGCCAGGTCGACTCGATCGTGCCGAAGTCGATCATCTTCCCGCGAGATGCCCAGGGTGGGGGAGAGGGATCGCCATTTGAAATCAATTTCACGCTCTGATCCTTGATCTTGGTTTATAAATGTATATAAATTATCGTATATTATTTTATTATTATGTTTGTGTTTTCTGTGTTGTTTTTGTTTTAAAACTATATCTGTATAATATAATGTATATATATATAATATTATATATATAAATATCAGTCTTTGTTTTTTTAAGCCACTCCTGCATGATTTGATGGTCGGGGTAGGTCAGGTGGTTCTTGGTAGTTTCTTATTTGAAACATGTGGAAGACATGAGACTTTACATGTGACTTCACAAGATCTTTTCGCAGGAGATCCATGTTGCATCAAGAGATCGCAGTTACCCCTTCTTGGTCAATTCATGAGTGAAAAATGCAACCAAACTCACACCTATGCATATGCAACAGTTGCTTGCTAGCGTTGAAGAGTTGGCAAGTGCGGCTCGATCTGCCCCTGCAGAGTTGAAGAAGGAACAAGGCCTGGCTGATGAATTGGTTCAGCTTCTGCAAATCTACACTCAAAATGCAGAAATGGATACAAACACCTCCTTGTCCACGTGGCTAAAAGTTCGGGGAATCTATACACAGTCCGGACAGATTCGGATTCTGATATTTGTTTGTCCTTTCTTAAAGGACCAACACTTTGAGATCTTGCTCAAGTACACAGTACCGTCCAGCGCTGTCCAGCGCCCTTCTTGGCAGATGACTCCAGTGTTTCGTCAATTGCGCTCTGGGGAGTGTAGGCCTTAACTCTTAACATGTGTGGCACTGGGCAAAAGATAGCCGGGTTAGAAAAAGTTCGATCAAGTTACAATAAGCTAATAGACATGAATGAAACTGAGCTAAAGTTGTTAAGTTTAAGTGTCACTTGTGTTTAAGCTACAAGTGGAAAGCGGTTTTATAGTGTAGAGTTATTGTTTGTGTCAGTTGTCTAACTTGAGATGAACGTTTTGATTACCTCTTGCCAAAAGCTACGTAATCCTTGTCTAGCCTGCGGTCCCTGGGAGACCCGGCTCCGATCACCCGAATTGGGAGACCCGGGTGTCGGCTGGTGATGACTGACTCAGGTCGAAGACTTCTGATCATTCTGGGAGTTCTGTCAGAAGCCAAATTGGTTCGGTCTGAGAAGCGAGAAGGTACTGTAGACACTTAAGACGTCCTAGATGTCCTAGATGTCCTTTGGTGCGGTACCATACTTGCTAAATCATGTTAAATCTGTACTAGGGCTGATGGGGAAGGAGCTTGGGAATGCCAGCTAAAACATACCATTGTCGTGAGCACTCTAGTATCACTGCATGTGTCTCCGTTTTGGCTCTACCTTTTGTTACAAGAGTTGCCCCTCCGCAACAGGGCGGGTTCATTTCCACTGTGCTCAGCCACATCACCTTCGTTGAAACCTTCAAACTACGGGGGTGGTTAACATGCTCCACTGGCATGGTTTCCCTAGAAATCCACATATTTGTCAGATTTTGTAAAAGAAAAAGGTTCGATTCATCAGTCAAACATCACGCATACCGTCAGATGAAGATGCCTTTAGAGAAAACAAAAAATCCTGACGACCCAGGCCTTTCTCCGTGCGTTTTCCACGCGACGGACATCTCTGAGGTTCTTGAGCAATCTCCGAGATTTGACCTTCTTCACGCCCGGCAGTGGCATGGCTGCTATTGGGATCTGAGTAGATCGGATCAGTGAGTACCAGGGCCCCCGGTTTGGGGTGGTTAATGGATACCCCTGGATACCTCTAAGGAGCTATAATTAGACACCCCTTAGGGGCCCTGGTAGAATTCTTTTTGTTTTGGGGGGGTGGATGAAACGTAGCTGTCGTTGCTTTCATGAAGCTCCATTCATGCGGTGGTGTCGGTGTGCTGTTGTTGTTTTTTTTTGTGTTGGGCAAAGAGGCGATTCTGGTTTGATGCTTTGTTGGCCAAGTCCATCTATAGGATTTCATTCTTTGTTTAGTCGACTAGAGGTCCTCGACCCCCTCTTTCAAGTGGCTTTGGTGATCAGTTGTTGGGGCATCTGTTCCTCCTCTCGTCTCAGGGGGTGATTCTGAACAAAAAGGTGGAATTCCGCCCACGCCTCTTCCGACGAATTCGGCCGATTCTGGGCACCCCACGTTTACGGCGTGACTCACTCTGTCCAAGGTCCACCCACGGGGGAGAGGCGTGCCTTGTTTCACCAACGCAAACAGCAGGATCAGAAGCTGAGAGACCTCGGAGAGACCTCGGAGAGACCTGCGAGACTTGTGGTGTTTTTTGTTCAGCAAACAGCGGTGCATGGATGTCAGAGGCAGCTCATTTGGTTGTTATGATAGATCCCCAAGCTGGGGTGGAGAAGGTCTCTGTCTTGATCTGACGAGGAGTGTCCAACCTGGAACTGCCCTTCAATTTGAAAGCACTGCTATTTGACAAGTGTCCTTGTTCCTTGATTGGATTTGAAGATCCCAAAGAGCGAGGTGAGGTGAACATCTCCGGTCAGGACCCCTCGGCTTTCCTATGGCCTCCCTATCCAGTTGCTTCTATAGTCTATAGTCGTTTCATGTAGCTTGTAAGAGAATATAAATAGATCTACAACCCATTGTTTGGTTTTGCACCTCACCACCTGATGACCTGTCTGCAGGCAAACGCCTGTCCCTGTATCTCCATGAAGTAGACTAGAGCAATACCAGGATCGACATGTTCGGTCACTACTTGGACCGGGCAGACAGCAGAAAGCTTTTGAGGGCCAGTGTTGGGGCCAGCAATCAAACAAACCTTCCGACCATCGATGGGACTGGAATAGACACATACATTTACCCCATGAATGATAATGATGACCCATGCATGTTAAGTACCTATTCCCTTCCCGTGGACGGTCTGGGAAAAGACATTCCCGGACACTCCTGCATGACACATTTACCTACATTAGGGAAGTTTTGAGGTTGGTATATACTAGATATTCCATACATGGAGTGTTTGGGATTTAAAACAAATTTAGATGAGATGATGAGTGATGAGCTGTTCTTGTCCAGGCTGTCAAGTGAGCTTTCCACCCATGCGGAGGGGGGCACCAGCCAGGCAGGTGCCGTCGCTGGTGGTTGCTTGGGGCATGGTGAAGCCACTTCGGTTGGTCCAAAAAGCAAGCAAAGTTCCCAAGTGGGTCAAGTGGGTTGTCATTTGTTCCTGTTTGCAGCTGGGAGCTCGTTGACGCACGGCTACACCACTGATTGGAGAACTGAATAGAAGACTGACTTAAGCGACTTTGGCTTTGCATCGAGGCATCGACTAGTTTCAACAGTCCACTGATTCGGCGTGAAACGAACGAAGAGCGTTTGGAGATCTCGAAGGCAGTCGCCAGAAACATGAGCAACCGATTCAGTGGTGCATGAGGTTGTCTCAGGCGCGGAAAGCTTGATTTGGTGAACAATCAGATCAATTCCCAGACACTCCATGTATGCCATATATGCCTATACATTGACCACCAAAAGCACCCCAACTGATCGGCATATATGGCAGTCCCATGGAGTGTCTGGGATTGGGTTTGAGTGATATCTTTGATGCTTCGGGACATGTCCCAGTTCC